AGGTCAGTGTATGGGGAAGAGTGCACCAAAAATAGGTGATCAGGGAGGAGGTAATCTTTATAATTACCCTCATCTCATTCTATACACACACACACACACACACACACATAGAATTTTAAATTGAAGACAGAATTTTAAAAATGGAGACAAAAATTTCATATATTTTTTAAAGTTTTATTGTGGGATCAGGCAAGATTACTTTTCCAACAAAATTCTGCATGTATTTTATAAAGAACTTATAACTGCATCTTAGTTACTTTCTATCCTGTTTGGAAAGCTCTTGAGGCAAAGAACACCACTTCTGTCGGTTTTCACTAGCAGCTTATTCCTAAGAACATCAGAGTCTGTTAAATAACCCCAGACAATCCAGCTCTCCATGCACATCTCACCAACATCATTGTCCTAGTTCAGTGTGCCTCAGAGCCTGCTGCAAGGAACCTACCATTGTACTCACCATAGCAATATAATAACATGTTATAAAAAAGTGGTGTTTACTCATCTTTTTCATCATTAATATTCTTAATATAATTGCTATAATGTTTATCAGAATCTTAAAAACAAAATATTGGATTAAGAAATAGAATTGCTGAAGAGTTCTTGAATTAAGCCCCTTTTTAGACCTGTGAAACTTTTGCTGGTAATACTTTCAGATTCAGATTCTTCCAAATTGTCCTTAATGAATTTCTGTGAGAATTACCAATTCACACAGTTTATCAAGCCTGTTCTAACTCTCTCTCATTTGCTGTGTTACTTTTGTTTGTTTTAACACGTATAAACATTTATTGAATACTATTTCCAGGTACAATGATAAGTATGTTAAGTGCATGCTTTATTTTGCTACTGATTTACCTTTTCTATTGTTTTCTATTGTTGTTTAAATGCAGTTGACATACAATATTATGTTAGTTTTAGGCATACAACATTCATGTACATTAGGGTGTGATTACCATGATAAATCTAGCTACCATCTGTCACCAAAGTTGTTATTATATTAATTTTGTATCATTACCTCTTAACTGACAAATCTTTCAGTCTATCATTATTAGATTCATTAACTACTTTATTATCTTTGAAGTATTCCACTCACAGCCAAGGATTGATGCTCCATATTTCAGTTTCCAAACCTCCTTCATATGTCTATAATATGCCTTCTTTAGCCAGAGTAAGTTTGTTGTCACTCTTTACTTAAATTAGTGAGCTTTTAAAGTCTTTTTATCCCTTGAAAAGTCATCTAGTTGAAATGATAAATTCCAGTTTTACACTGTAATGACTAAATATGAAATATTGTCTCAAATTTTTAATTATAATTTGAGAATGTCAAAGCCTTTCATTATATAGCTAAGCAAGCTAAAAATAAAGGTTTTTTTTTTTTTTTTTTCAATACCACATAGTAGGTTAATGTCAGGCCCTGAGCTACAGAAGATGCTATATTTTGCAGACATTTTCCCTCCAGCCTTTTGCAAGCTACTTTGTTTTAACATGGGTATCTCATCTAATTTCATGACCTTAAGTTCTTCCTTACCATTATATTATTTGCATTTTTCTATGTAAATATATGACTCTTATGAACATTATTTTAAGCCAAATGTTCAGAATTTCCATTTTTGATATTTACTAACAATGTGTTTAACCCTTTCCTTTGTTTTTCATACATCCTATTTCTTTACAGTTAACTTTTAGAAATGGAATTTCTCAATCAAATAATATGAATATTTGAAAGGTTTAAAATACATATTAAAATTATTATCCTAAAGAATTTACACTGTTGCTAGCAATTTTATGCAATATTTGTTTCAACATAACCTTGCTAGCTTTAGTTATTATCATTTCAGTTATCTTTACTAAATATTTGGAGAAAGCTAAGTCATTTTATTATTACACTCTATTTCTAGTAAAATTGAACATATATTTATTAAAATAATATTTGTTTTTCCATTTTTTGGAATGACTTCTGCATAATATTATTTGCCTTTTTATTTATTATATGTTTAGAATTTTCCTTACACTATACCATAAATCCTACATGCCACTAAGTTTATTGCTTTTCTTTTCATTTTGGTAAATATACATTACTTGTACCTATGACTATATAATTTTTTGTTACTTCTAAGTCTGGGACTTCCTCTTTTTGAAGTTATTCAATATTCACTTATATTATGTACTTTTCCTATAATCTGGCTTGTTTAAATTATTCACTTTTTAAAACGTAAGGAATTTTACTTAGAGGAACTTACGAATTAAAAGTTTAACTCGTATTTTTTTTTTCCAGAAAGTTAGTAGTCCCAGGTAATTTTATTGTTAGAGAATTCTGTATATTAATAGATCTAAAGAAACATTTAGACAATTTAAATGTAGATATTGCTTCTTTATAAATTGTATAGTCTCATGAAAGCAAAAGCAAAATGCTAAATATAAGTAGCCATTTCCCCAAAATGTTTGATGAATAAGTAGATAAACAGTCAATAACATTCTGTGTAAATGCATTATGTGTCATTATTATTGATAGTTTTGTCATCCTTATTTTTAAGGAATTTATGATTTTGCTATTTCATTATACCTTTTAAAGTGTGAACGTTTTAATCAACATTTATCTTGAGTGGATTTTGGAGATACATTGTTTCCAGAATCACTTTTTAAACTTTTGTCTCTATCGTGTTAAAATAATATAAAATTTTCTATTTTAGCCACTTTTATGCATACGATTTGGTGGCATTAAACGACTCACGCTGTTTTCAAAACTTGTCATCACCCCAGACAGAAAGTCTGTTATCATTAAGCAATAACTACCATTTTCTCTTCAGGACAAAATAGATTTAAAGAATATGCTCCAGGTATATGCTGTCTACAAGAGGCTAACTTTAGATCTAAAGACTCAAGTGGGTTAAAATAAAAATGACATGAGAAGATATTCCATACAAATAATTACCAAATGAGAGCAGGTGGCTAAGCCAGTATAAGAATATATTTTATTTCAGGGCGCCAGGGTGGCTCATTCAGTTAAGTGTCTGACTCTTGATTTTGGCTCAGGTCATGATGTCAGGGTAATAATCTCAGGGTCAGGAGATTGAGCCCAGCATCAGTCTCCACACTTACTGGGGAGTCTGCTTCTTTCCCTCTGTCCCAACCCTACTTACTTGTTCTATCCCTCCATCCCTCCTCTCTCTTAAATAAATAAGCCTTAAAAAAAATGAATGGATTTTGTGTTACTATTACAGAAGACAAAGACGAGTGTTATATACTGATAAAAGGATTAGTTCAAAAAGAAAATTTAACAATTATAAAAATTATAAGCAGCAAGCATCAGAGCCCCAAAGTGTATTAAACAATGACAGAATTTGTTCTGACTTTGTTAACATTTGTTAAGTAAAGCACAGGATGCCAGATGGTGATCCACAGTTCCACAACAGACCACAAGAGAAATTGAGATACAGGTGTTTATTATTCACAGGTCCTGGAAGAAGGACATGACATGCCTTCAGAAGCCACATGGGGTGGTCAAAGCATAACACAGTGAGACAGGACCTGGGGCACATGCCTTTTTTAGGGTGCATAGGTGGAGTGCTTGCTGTTTTAAACTCCTGAGCTAAGACTGGACTGGTCAATTCATACTCAAAGAGCAAGGTTTTGGTAAGCTGCATAGGGTTCTTATCTAAGTGATGCACAAGGCATACAGACCCTGGGAGACAAGAGATTCTATTGATGAGAAGGGCTGTTGGGGAGTCTTATCAGGAACTTACATGTTTGTGACTGTGACTGCTCTCTAGCTCATGCACTTGCACAAGGGGGCTAATGTCAGTTTAAGGTTCTACAGGTTACTTGGCCAGACTAAATGGATGCTGAGGCGACAATAACATGCAGTGGCTTTGCTAAATTCTCAACATTCTAGAAAATCTTTAATCTAGTTATGAGAAATACTTCAGACAAATTCCAGTAGGGTCAAATACCTGACCACTACATTTCGAGTTGTGAAGGACAGTCTGAGAAGGATCTGAGAAACTGTCACAGACAAGTAGAGCTTAAAACACAAAAAAATAAAAGTAATGTGGTGTCCTGGGTATAGTTCTGTACCAGAAAAAGTCATTAAGTTAAAACTAAGAAAAACTGCATAAATGATGGACCCTACTAAATAATGATGTGCCAATATTAGTTCAGTAATTGTGATGATGTACCATATTTTATGAGATATTAAAATTGAGTAACCTGTTTGATAAGAATTCTTTGTACCAGCTTCTTAATTTTTCTCTACAATAAAAAAATGGATACTTCTCACAAAAGTATCTGGATTTGTCATTGGAATTCCATGTCATTATATATTCAAACAGTAAGTGCCTAGTCATGTTGTAAGGAATGTTTGGCTCTTAACATAAATTTCATATTATCTAAACTTGCCCCTGCAATATTTGGAAGATGGCTTTTAGTCAAATAAACCTATTCATTAAGATATTATGGATTAATGGATTAGTTCTGTAAAATGCTTATTCTAGTTTGGTCTCATGAGGATACCATATAAATTTTTGTCATAATTATTTACTCAGGCTGGTCTTTTAACCTGATAAAGCTATAGATTATTAGTTTGAGCTTTAAAAGAAAGTACTATAGAATACCTACAGAATTATCAATTCAAAATCACTTTACCACTTCTATTGATAGAAAAAAGAAAGAAATAATAAATGTCTTTGCGTATTACTAACAGACATATGCTTTAACTGAGTTTTTTTTGGTTTCATGATAATATATAAGCAGGATATTCAAATTGATTTATTTGCATATATATTTTGAAATAATTATTTCATGGATACTGAAGTTATTTCTGGAAACTAAAAGATATTTTGAATACTAAATTACAGCCTTTGGTAAATACATTTTAATTTACTTTTTAATACTGGGATATAGTACTAATTTAATATGATTAACTTTTACCAGGTAAAAGAAGACTTTCTTGGTTGAATGTAGATATTAATTGTGCTGACTTGTGTGTTTCTTTTTCTTTTACCCTTTAGGCTATACTTTGGAGGTATAAGTTTTCTCAGCTTAAAGGTTCTTCAGATGATGGCAAGAGCAAAATCAAATTTTTGTTTCAGAATCCAGATACTAAGCAGATTGAAGCAAAGGTAAATCTAAATTCATCATATAAACCACCATTATATAAATCAACTATATTAATGCCATTAATAAGCAAAGGAGAGAATATTTAGGAGAACAGAAGAGCAAAACCACACATTTTTTGTATACTTTGGAATATTCCTCAGGACCAAAAGAATAAAATCACTTTGAGATTTTAGTGGCAAAATTTCACTGAAAGGCATAAATCAGAATAAGTTAGACAGAGCTAATTGCATTTCCTAGTTTTAATTTCTTATGAACTACATTTGTGTCACACTAAAATAATATTCTGAGAATTGAAACGGTCACTTTCTTGGTCTTTTCACATTTTAAATAATAATTTAAAATAAAAATTCTAAGTGTATTTTGCTATTATCTATATCCTCTCTGGATATGAACACAAATCCCTGAAGAAAAATATTCTTTAAACCAATTGATGTTTTCCTCATGTTATTTTATGTTAGTAAAATGGTTAAATGAATGAATTTTTTGCTTTGCTCATGCAAATATTTTCAATATTCTGAAATATATTAACTATGTTGCTTTAAACTCATCAGAAAGTTTCACTACCTTTATTTTTATTAATACATATATTTGTATATATTCAAAATTTAAATTAATTATTCTACAATGAAATTCACAATAATAATGTTTAGGGTAGAATAAACTATAAATATTATTCCAGTGTGGAAGAAAGGATAAATAATAAACACCAAAGTGGAAAATTAATTGTATGGAAATGCAAACCCATATATAATTTTCCAACTCTGGACTAAAATTAGCATAATTCTATTACATTCCAATACTTATTAAATTCAGGTGTTGAGATTAGTCTGACAGTCAAATCCTTCCAAGGAATGACCTTCTCTGACATCCTATAAACATCTCCTATAACACTGCTTTAAATCTACATCAGAGCCTCTCATTCTTTTAACAAGTTGACTTTTTTTTTACCTTATATTTCTGTTCATGCTTCTCCCATAACCTTTCTCCATAGCTTTTTGTTTGAATTTCTCTGTGTATACTCCATTTTTGTCTTAGGTTTATCTTTGGACTTGCCTGACTACCTCTGCCTGTGGTTGTTTAAAGAGGGAACTGTGGATATAATCCCTTTCTGCTGGTCCTTTTCCTGATGCATTTCTCTAAAGCATCGGTGTTACATGTGGTCTTGCTTTATGTTTGTCTCCCATCAATTTAGACATATAGCATCATAATTTCACCCACTCCCTTTATCTAACTTGCTTCATAATTTTCAATTCTAAAATAATAATAATAATGAATTTTCAATTCTACATTTCCATCACTGCCTTCTCCCTAAATATAGATGTCCCCAAAACAGGGACAGGAACATCTTTGTATATTATATAACTCTTCTAAGTTTTTGTATACCGTAATATTGATAACCATCCTGCATGGAAATTGTTCACTAGCAGTCTTCCTTCACTGGATTAAGAACTTTTAAGCACAAAATATATGTCTTACAACATCATATTCCTAAGGCCTAGACTGATGCTTGCCTGGGAGCAAGATAATTTTTTAAATTACACTAGATCATTGTTTAATAGTTGCGATTGTAAGCACTTTTCTCAACATTTTATTATGAAAAATTTCAAGCATACATCATACTTTAAGTAATTTACAGTAAACGCCCTCTACACACTAAACTCTATAATTCACATTCCTCTATACTTCTTTATCACATATCTATGTATCCATCCCTTTCTCTGTACATCAATCCATCTTATCTTGACACATTTTGAAGTAATCACAGACATCAGCATGGTATTAAGTAATTCTCAAAATGTGTTTGTGGGATGCTGTCTTTGTCCCTCTAATTCCAAATTCCTCATTCATTGTTTTTGGACAGTTCTTCAAATTTATAGTTGTTTTTGATAGTTGACAGTTGTACACTTTTAATTGCATAATCTAAATAAATAATAAATTAATTATAACTACTGAAAAATAATTTTAGTAAAATACCAAAAATCCTCAGCAAGTGAAAGCATTATATTTGAGTCCATAGATTTTTAAAAGTATTTCATTTTATAAAGTAAGTTGTATATATACAATTTTGACAAATTAGCAGAGAGCTAAAGCATGAAACAATTTGATATGACTGATAGTTTATAAATATTTAGTAAAAATAGAATTTTATCTGATTTCTCACATCATTTGTTTAAACATTCTTATAATAGAGAAGAAATGACATAGCTTCAAAAATAATCAATGACATAAAATTCCATGTTATTTGAGGAAAATTTTATCTTACCTAGAAACATCAGCCTTCTTATGGCTTAGATCAACATAAAATAGATCAAAATGACAATTTCTACTCACAGTGTTTTGAGAAATATTTGGAAAGCTGTGTGTCAAGAGGTCTCCATGCACTTTTATAAGTACACTGTAAAACTTTTGTGACTTTTGAGAACAATTTCTGAATATTTTCTTTATAATCATTAATGTGTGAAAAATTTACTTTTAGGTTAAACATAAAGAACACATTGGTGAATAAAGATATGAAGAAAATAAGTTATTACTTCACTTGTCCTAGGTTTAAGTAAATAAAGCAAAACTAAACAAATATCAATTAAAATTTTTAAAAGCCTATAATGCAGTTTATCTTTATGTGATCCTTACCATTACCTAATTTTTATACAAGTCATTGTCCTATAGTAGTAGGAATATGAGCTTAGTAGTTAACAAACTCTGGCTTCCACATATAAATATGATGTTTGTTATCTAGGGTGAGTTATCTAAGTTCAGGCTAAGAATCCTCCAGTGCAAGACAGAGGTTTTTGTAATAATAAGAGCATGTGTGCCCTTCTCAGGAGACGAGAATACCAACATACTTCTGTTACACGTTCATAAATATCCTAAAATTGGCAGAAAGTTACAGGTAGAGAAAAAGTAGAAAGGGAATTTTTGCCATCAGCCTAAAAGTAAAAAGATGGAATCAATGCACAGAAGAACCCATAACCCAAAAATGGTTCAATTAAATTAATTCAATTAAATTATTCCCACTCAAGAGGTTCTCCAATATGAATGAGTAGGGAGTGAGAATGAACACTGGTTCAATTGTCAGGATGATTATTTGGAAACTCTCTTTGATTTCAAGGGCTAGTCAATCCCTCCTTTCCCATGAGCTTTTGTTGAGGTAGAGATAATAGGGGTTTATAAGGGGTTAATATCTCATCTTCAGCAACCATCCAAGACAAGTACCCTAAAACAGGATATATATTAATCCCCTCAGAATGCTTAGAAAGACTTGCAAGTAATTTTTAAAAACTAGTTCTTATGAACTAGAATAGTGATTTTTATGAAATGTGAATATCACATTTAAAAGAAAAACTCTATAGCAGAATAGAAACAGCTAAAGCTGGAAATTATAGCTAAAGATTCTCTCAAAATGCAGTAGCATAAAATATGGAAAATATAAGATGAAAGATAGTTGTATGAATCCACTACTGGAACAAGTAGCATTCAAGATGAGTAGAAAAGGGTAAATAAAGGAGAGAAAAAAATAGAAAATTTACCCCAAAAATTCCCTAAAATTGAATATGTACTTCCACTTTCAGAGTGAAAGGGAAACTGAGGTCTGATTAGTTAAAAAAAATCAGTAAATCAATAAATCGCACTCCAAAACTTTCAAAATCCAAGGGTACATCAAAAATTTAAATCATCCGGAGGGAAGTGTCTTGTGGAATAGTGGATAGATGGTCTCAGTGAACTTACCCTCCCTCAAAAATGGTGGAAATACCTGCAAAGCAATTGAAACCAAGCATCTGTTTTCAAGCACCCTAAAAATTAGCCAAATTGACAAGAATGAAAAATAACCAAAATCACAGAATGAATGGAGAATTATCTCTGCAAGAGAAACTACTGGACCCCATTCAGTAACATAATGGGGTTCATCTTAAAGTTTTAATTTAAAAATATTCAAATACTCTTCCCTTCCCAGACAGTGGCTTTAGAGACAAAAGCCAGTATCATTGCAGAAAATTGAAAAGTCTGACCTCATCCAGAGCAGAGTCGGTAATTTGTTTTACTTTGCAGCTTCCTGAGAATTCTCCATTCTTAGTGTGGTGGCTATGTGACTCAGAGCATAGCTCAGCAAGGGGAGGGGAAAAAAGAGAAGAGGGGATCTACCCCAGGACATAACTAGAGTACAGGCAAACTGCTGGCAACATCTTGACTACCTAAGCTTTAAGTTTTAAGTGGAACAAACTAAAGCCTGGCCTGGAATTTAAAAGAAAATCTCTTAAAAAAACAGGAAATGATTGTCAATTTAGGAAAAACTCTGATGTATTCTTGGAGATTTGTGGTGATATGTGCATGCCCAAGAAAGGAAAAGGCACCAGTTGCTTAACTCTGAACTGGAGACCACACACAGGCAGGAGATTAGTTAATTTTGTTTTGGAAATGTCCTGAAATTGGAACATGTGCCTTCATGTGCAGATTTCCTTGGTAAAGAATAACAGACTTATAGGTAACACATAAAATGAAATTGTCTGACCAATAGTTGGCTGACCCAGATGTGACCAAGGGGCAGCTAGGCTTAAAAATTTAAAAAGAAAAAATAGAAAAAAGCTAAAACAAACTAACAGAGAACTTAGTTATCAACACACTACAGGGAATACAAATTCTATAGAATTAATGCAAAACAGTGCCAAACAAAGAAACAGCAATATGAAAATCAACAACAACAAAACACCAACAATAAACCTCTGGAAAGTGGCAGAATCTAAAACCAAAGTTGTTACAAGATATTATCTAAAATATATAGTTTCCATCAAAGCAGAAAAGTATGTACAATAAACAGGATAAATACCAACAAACAGATTATGTCTTGAATGGGATTCAGATTTTGGATTCAGTAGTAAAAGGCTTTATTTAAATTTTTCTTTATTTACTCATGAGAGACACAGAAAGAGAGGCAGAGACACAGGCAGAGGGAGAAGCAGGTTCCCTGCAGGGAGCCCAAAGTGGGACTCCATCCTAGGACCTTGGA